AGAAGACCTTCCCCATCGCCAATACTGTTGCTACATTATGTATTCGGTGCTCTTTTATACTCCGCACGGGGTTACTTCTTTTGCTCTCCGGTCCTTGTAGTGTAAGTTCGTATATTTTGATTTTTTGTAAGCCCCCCACCTTTTTTTTTTTTTCCCCCCCCCCCCGGGGGGGCCCGCCCCTTTTCAAACCCCCGAAGGGCTTGACCCTCCCGGGATTGTCGGGCCCCTGATAAAGACCTTTTTTGACCCATTTGGTTTTGCCCCCCCCCCCCCCCCCCCCCCCTTGCGCGTGTGCCACATCCCCTGGCCAAGCCGCCGCCCATTCAGCTGGGGGCTGGATCTCTTCCTGGTGGTACGCGACGAACTCGTTGACAGATTGCTGCACCGCCGGCCAGAATTTATCGTAGTCATCGCCCGTCAGGATGCCGTCGGGCGGCAGCAGCTCCCATGCTGCCTGCATCTCGAGCTCGGTGGAAGGGTACTCGTGCGCGGTGTCCAGGTAGATGACGCTCGGAGGCGAAAGGCCAAAGGTGCGGATCTGACGCGCCACGTATTTGAGGCCTTCGAATGCCGGCACCTGGATCGGGATCACGTGGCCACTCACGTTGGCCGCGATCACGTTGGCCATGAAATGGTCGTACAGCCGGGGTCGGCCGCTCGGACCCGGAAACCCCAGGAAGCGGCCCTTCTTCTCCCACATGGCCACGTCGCCAAGCCAAGTGTCCATGCAAACCACCACCGGCGGCGACTCACGGCTGGTTTTGCGCGCCGCCCGCGCCAATGTGATGGCGCTGTTGCCAATGAACGAGCCAACCTCCAGGATCCAGCCGCCCGGTCCGGCATGCTGCGCCAGCAGCCCAGCCAAGTCCCAGTGATACGTTGCAAAATTGGAGGTGTACTGGTCGGTGCGAACGCGACCTTCGGCGCCGAATTCGGGCGTGTACGCGCCGGCGAAGGGCCGCACCTTGCGTCCGAGCAGCGCGTCGGCGAGCCGCTCGTACATTTGCATGTGCCGCCACCACGAGCGTGTGATGGCAAGTCAAATCGAGCGGAGCGAGAAATTGGAGAGAGGAGGGAGGCAGGAACACGTAGGAGAGTTTGCAAACCGGCAACCTCCAAACTGCGTGCGTCGTTAGTTCGAGTAGGTCGGCAACAACCGCCAAGTTTGACATGGCCGAGGATCAAAGAGATAGAAAAACATGGCACCCGACCGACCAGCTGAAGCTCTAGACTCGTCGACCGAGCTCTGGACGATGCCGACCTCAAACCACCAGCGCCAGCAACGACGTGCCGCGGCTCGCCGCGCCGCTGTTGCGACCGACGACGTGCCCGACGCCGTCCCGCGGCCGAAAGGAAGAGGCCCGCGCAACCACTTCTGGGACCCGCGGCCGCCGGGCGTGCGGCGGCACAACGAGTCGAACGAACCGAACCAGCGCAGAGCGGCGCGTCTCGCGAGCGCCCGCGGCCGCCACGCCGACGCCGTCCGCGGCCGACGGTGGTCGCGAATCAACGCGGCGCGGTGCAACGAGGCCAAGTCCTTCCACGCTCCCGCCAGCAGCGCCTCGTGGCGTGGGCTGCACGGCCCTTCGAGACGGCCCGGGGGGCGGTGAGAGACCTCTCCCGCCGGCATGGCGCACTATATCACCCGTAGAGGCCTCTCTATAGTCGCCTTTTGGCACCTCCTCTATCCACGCCGCCGATTAGACCTCGCCGCATCGCATCGCCCCCTTCCCTGCCCCGTCGCCCTCCTGAGCTCTCCCTCCTTCGCTCCAGCCATGCACAGGACGGCTGGACCATTGGCCCGCGTGCCAGGCGTCCGGGACGGCCGGGTATCGGCTCCGTACTTTGAGCCCTCTTGGGCCACCCTCGCGTCCACCGGCCGGCAGAGCACCGCTTGGGCGACTCAGACGGCCCGCCCGACCAGCGCGTTCGATCGTGCCGCCCCCACAGCGTCAGTGGCGTGCGTGGGGTGGCAGGCGGCGTCAGCGCAGCCCCTCGTGGGGGTGCCCACCGCTCTCCTCTCACCGCTCCCCCCCGCCCGTGGCACCCCACACACTCGTCCCTCCTCAGGGGCGCAAGGCGGCACGGCACGTTCAGCGCTTGCCTCGGCCCACATCGCCTTCACGCCGCCACCGCGACCAAGGAGGTGGCCTCGGCGGCCCAGATGAAGCCCGTGCGGCTCGTTTGGGAGCCGCATGCCGTCCCTCTCTCGCCGGCGCTGCTCACCACGCCCAAGCCTACGCCGAGGAACCCGTCGCGCCCGTCGCTCACGAGCTGGTGGCTCGCATCGACCGAGCCGTCCAGCTTTCTCACGCCCTGCCCACGATCAAATTCGAGACGACCAACATCCGACCACAAAAAGGCCCGCGCGTGCTGCGCGGGCCGGCGAGCGATAAGCAAGCCAACGCGAGAGGAAGAGTATTTCCCATGTCGCGCATAAAGGTGGCACCCTCGGCCAGCACTCGACTCGTCGACCGAGCTCTGGACGATGCCGATCTCAAACCACCAGCGCCAGGAACGACGTGCCGCGGCTCGCCGCGCATTTGTTGCGACCGACGACGTGCCCGACGCCGTCCCGCGGCCGCCAGGAAGAGGCCCGCGCAACCACTTCTGGGACCCGCGGTCGCCGGGCGTGTGGCGGCACAACGAGTCGAACGAACCGTACCAGAGCAGAGCGGCGCGTCTCGCGAGCGCCCGCGGCCGCCACGCCGCCGCCGTCCGCGGCCGACGGTGGTCGCGAATCAACGCGGCGCGGTGCACCGCTGCGCCTGTCCTTGCGCGCCGCTGGACGTCGGCCGAGAAGACCGCTTCCCTCTGGGGACCCGACTCCGCGAAGATCGCGCGCGCGTCGTGAGTGGCGGCGCGCGCGCGATCTCTGTTCCCGGGCACGCCGGTCGCAGTGGCATGGGATCCCAGGCTCAAAAGCGCTCAACAGCGAGCTGCTCCTCCTCCTGCCGCCGCTCCGCTCACCGAGACAACTCGGTGCCGCCGTTCTCGCCGCCGCCGCCGCCGCCGCCGCCGCCTCCGCCGCCGCCGCCGCCGCCACCGCCGCCTCGCGCCTTGCCTCCGTCACCGCCGCCCTCCATCTCGCAGCGGCGCGTCCCTCTGATGGCGCGGGCTCCTCGCTCGTTGGCGCCTCGCGCCCTCGCCGCCGCCCCCCCTCTCGCCGCCGCTCCGCTCGTGGCCGCCCCATCCCCTGTCAATCCCGCCGCCTCCCCTGCCAATCCCCCGCACCACCGCCGCCACCGCCTCGCGCGTTTAGCGGGCCTTTAAGCTTGGCTTAGGAATCCTAAATAGGAGGCTATCAAGAAAAGAAACGCAACGCCCCAAGTGCTCCAAGTGCAATGTCGAAGGTGCCACCTTTATCAACCACAAAAAAGGCCCGCGCGTGCTGCGCGGGCCCGGCGAGCGACTAGCGAGCCAACCCGCTAGTCGAGCAAGAAAAAAACAAACAAACCCGACGAATCCCTGGGACCCTCCCTGTCGGTTGTGTCTGGGAGGGAGGGAGTGGGGTGCAGGTTGCTCACCCACGGCACCGGGCCGGTGCTTGCACTTTGAATGCCGTGGGGCTCCTGCCCGTGTCCCGGGCGTGGAGATGCGAGGGTCGCCCCCCCTTGCCCCACCACTTTGTGTGTGTGGAGACGTTTACCTTACCTTACCTTACACTGGCAGCAGAGCTAGCAGAGTGCAGTTCACACCCGATCACCTCTTCAGTGCCTTCTCAGCTCTCCTCATGCCGCGGCTACTGAGGGTGCCGCTCCAAATCAAGCCGACGTACGGCGTCGGTATCGTGGTCTGCGCCTCCGACGCGTCGGGCCCAAACTTTCCGCGGACGACGGGGAGGATGGCGCGCCGTGGCGGGCCGCCCTCCGCATTGCAGAGCAAGTCGCCCTCCAGGTCGGCGGGGAAGGGGCGGCCGAGAGCAGCGGCCCAGAAGCGCTCCATGTGGATGGGGTGTGGAGACATGTTGCATGCGCACACACAGTCTGTATAGAGAGCATCTGCACCATACAGACCCTCTCTGCACACACAGTGCACTCTTGGGTAGGATTCTGTATTCCGCACCTGCATTGTGCATTCCGTACGACTCTTTTTTTGGCCTCTCCTACCTATATTGGGCGAGTTTTTGCATTCTGCACCTGCATCCTGCATTGTACTCTGCTCGCTCTCTCCTGGCTGTGGGTGTGTTTTTGCATTCTGCATTCTGCATCCTGCATCCTGCACGTCTCTCACAGCTGTACCTTTGGGCCCGCTTCTGCATCCTGCATCCTGCATCTGCATCCTGCTCGGGGGCAGTTCACAGCTTTGGGGCCGATTCTGCGTTCTGCATTCTGCATCTGCATCCTGCATCGCCATCGGGTACCAGTTCACAGCTTTGGGCCCGCTTCTGCATTCTGCATTCTGCATCTGCATCCTGCATCGGGTGCAGTGCACAGCTTTGGAGCCGATTCTGCATTCTGCATTCTGCATCTGCATCCTGCATCGGGTACCAGTTCACAGCTTTGGGCCGCGTCGCGGTTGGCGCTCCTCAGGAGGTGATTTTTTTGGTTTTTCATCATAAAAAAGTATAACACATATAAGTCCGTTCCGGACATCAGGAAATCTGCGCTCCTTTTTCGGGACAAGTCTGCGGCTATGATAGTTCGCCAGAGCTCATACGCTGTTCCTGCCGGGGGCTGCTATATGCGACCGCCGGGCCGCGTCGCGCCGTTGGCGCTCCTCAGGAGGTGATAGCGCGGAATGTAGAATCGGCCCCAAACAAAGCTGTGAACTGCACCCCATGCAGGATGCAGATGCAGGGGGCAGAATGCAGAATCGGGCCCAAAGCTATGAAC